ACACCGACTCGATACTGTCTGTTGCATTCTCTCCCGACGGAACTCGTATTCTCTCGGGCTCCGTGGACAGGACTATTCGAATCTGGGATGCCGAGGATGAACAGGTTGACTCCGGGAGTTTTGAAGGGCATACAGACGATATAATTTCCGTTGCTTAATGCTTTCTCGCCCGATGGCGAACGCATTGCTTCAGGATCCTACGATTGGACGATTCGAATATGGGACACTGAAACTGGGCGTGCTGTCTCTGGACCCTTCGAAGGACACGGCTGGGTCTTGTCCGTCTGCTTCTCGCCGGATGGCAGGTACGTCGCGTCTGGCTCTAGGCGACTTCAATTAATTGGCAGAGACACTTGCAGAAGGGCTTCAGCAATTTAGAGTTAAGATGCCAAGAGTTATGCAAGTCTCTCAAAATTGAAGAGCTGGACTTGCAGATATTGACATTTAATGCCCATGTCACGTTACTCATGATTTTTGTTTGGGTTGTAGTCAGACATTTCTTTATTTCAAACTCTGACATGTCTGCAAGTGCTAACAAGTGGGTTTGAGCACTTGCTAACACTTACATTCCTACCTCCATCACCTATACTTGAGACTTTTGTGTTCTCTACCTTTACAATGAGCTGTGTGCCTACTCTCTGTACTCTTGAATCTGCTATTACTCAATGTTGTGAATGGCAGCAATCTGCTCTCCTCTCTGCCTTCTGTAGAGCCACCTACATACTATGCTGACAAAGTTGTAAGTACAAACCTACTGTTTCTTCAACCTATACTCTCCTTGTGGTTGAGCATATTGTTGTAAACCTAGACCTGTCTCTGCCAATGTGTGTCAAGACAATGTCAGTAAGCAAACTACTGAACAGTTTACTAATTGTCTAGAACAACACTTAGAGTGTCCTACCTATAGTTGTAGACTAGGTCAACACAACTCTACCTTACAGCTTCAAGCCTTAAGGTGTTGAGCCTCACCTTATACACAAGGACCTAGTAGAAGTCAACTCTTCACCTTGTGTCCAACTCTCTTCACCCTTGCCCTTTAAATACACACATTCAGACCTAGTACTATACTTGTACTTAAACTGTAGCCTAACCTACAGGACTATAACTATACTTATAGTACACCTGTACTATATGTGTCCAGACATTATTCCCAACCACAAGGCTGAAGCAGAGTACATTCCTGCTCAGCTATCTAGCCTAACACCTCTGCCCTCCCTATCCAGTCTAACACCCCAACCTTTCCCCTATAACAGAACCCCTTGTCCATACTACCCAAACCCAACTTTTACTTTAGTAGAGACATTCCAACCTTACACACACTATGACTATGAGCTACCCCCTCTACTAAAGTCAAAGTTACCCCTCCCTCCCTTTCCTGAGGAGGAACCTGACTTGACTAAGAAGTTTACATACTTTATCCCAGGCTACAACTATTAGTATAAGTATAAACAAAACATGAACACACACTTACATAAGAAACACCCTAACTTAGACTATGATAAGATTTTAACCACCTAGTAGACAGGCAGCCCTTCACACATATTTATCTTATTTTATTTATTTCCCCTTTACCTTCTTTACCCTACTCTAGAATACTTGTTTTCTCTTTCTATACAAGTAGGAGGCCTGGCAGGTTTTTTCTCTCTCTCTTCCTTATACCTGACTGCTTGGAGCCTAGAGTAGTGTATTTCAAGCCACAGCTGTAAGAGTTTTTTGTAGTTGATTTTGGTTTCTTTATTTTGGCACAATGGAAAGACACTTGTAGAGAGTTGCACGGATTTACATCTCTATTTGGTATATATTAAGGTACGTCTACTTTGCCGAGCCACCCCAAAATTTTCCAACTGTCCTGCAAGTGCTCCTGCCAATTAATTGAAGTCACCTTCTGCCGATCAAACGATCCGCGTGTGGAACGCCGAAAGTGGAAATGTAGTTTCCGGACCTTTCGAAGGGCACAGAGATCGGGTCTGGTCTGTCTGCTTCTCGCCAGATGGAACGCGCGTTGTATCCGGCTCCGGTGACGCAACACTCCGGATCTGGGATGTCGAAAGCGGGCAGACGATTTCCGGTCCTTTCACAGGACACGAACGGTGGGTAAACTCTGTTGCTTTCACGCCTGGTGGGAGACGCGTTGTCTCTGGCTCCAACGACAAATCAATCATAATCTGGGACGTTGAAAGTGGGGAAGTAGTTTCTGAACCCTTGGAAGGACACACACATTCGGTTATGTCAGTGGCATTCTCGCCCGACGGTACACGTCTTGTCTCCGGGTCTGATGACAAAACCATTTTGATCTGGGACGTCGAGAGCGGAAAGGTCGTGGCTAGGCCTTTCGAGGGTCATACAGAACATATCACGTCGGTTGCATTCTCTCCCGACGGAGCATGTTGTGTCTCGGGTTCTTGGGACAAAACGATTCGCGTCTGGGATGCCGCGGGTGAACAGGCCGTTCTCGCGCCATTTGAAGGCCATACATCACTTGTTTGGTCTGTTGCATTCTCCTCGGATGGAAAACACATTGTCTCCGGCTCTCGAGATCGCACAATCAGAGTGTGGAATGTAGAAGGTGAGACCAGCATTTCCTTACTCAGCAGTTAATGTTTAACTCCTTGTCTCTTGTGTTGGTTCGTAATATAGATCCTGTCTCTGACTGGACATTGGATGAGGATGGGTGGATACATCAGCACGGAGAGTTACTTGTGTGGATTCCACCTCATCTGCAGACAGTGCTCTGGCGACCTCAGAATACCACAGTGTTCAATTGTGCATTCTCGATAAAGTTGGACTTTACAAATGTTGCCATTGGCGAAAGGTGGCAGGACTGCTTTGAGCCATCTCAGTGATAACGCGATCTCGTTCCTTAGTCAAGATAACTTATCATCACCAGTTTAATTAACTAAAACATTGTACATTGTTATAAATATTATATTAGTTGTAATTGCTGTATAGTATGCACAAATTGACATCAGATCAACTTCATACCTTCAAGAGAGTTGTGAGCAATATATGGAGCACCTATGTAGTATTCTATGTCCTACCTTACTAAACAATAAATTGAATAGATTATAAGCATATGAGTGAGCTCTGCTGTACTTATTAAAACAGACACACTTGGTTGGGTCAAGGACTGGGAGTATGATAGGGATACTGTCCTTGTCATAATACAGTCATATATGCATCCATTAATAAATTGAGTTTGGTCCTGGTAGAAGAGTTAGTGTAAGCTTGGTAGCTTACCACATGTGAAAGGCTACTGTTGGGGGCAGTATCTCAATTTGGTAACATGTGCTTATATAGAGTGCAGAGTATGGATCACTGATCAGTGATTATACTAGCCTTTTAGTGTAATGGTTGACATTGCTACACTAGTGTTGACAGCATTACAGTTAGCTGCAGTTCAGGGAGTGTAGGTCTCTTGTAATCTATAAATAGTATATACACTAGTAATAAGGGCAACATTAGCCCATCTTGAGATTTAAAAGTGTTTTATTGATAAGCAGAGGAGAGGCACATTGACATCATTTTGAGAATGGGAAATAATATTATGTAATCACAGATATTCTATTTAGAAAGGAATTGTTTCAAGCACTTTGTTCTTTCTTTCATATAGTACACCTTTGTTATATTAAGACAATTTCCAAACATGCTCACTTGTCTGCATTGTTGTCTTTCATTTCTCACTGAGCCTTTGTTAAGCAGACAAAGATGCCCCAGACCATACCTGGGCTGGACTTTGGCAGCTATAACACATACTATTTCCTTTCTGTCAAACACACATTTCTATGTCTGAAATTACTCTGCATTCATTCTACACCCATCTTAGTAATATGTACTATTCTCACTATCTAAATTACTTCCTAACGTTTGCTATTTGATTTTTTAGCTTGAAGACTGAATATTGTAACTTACTTAGTAGTTGCTTGTCTCGGCCTCGGAAAAAACTGTTGTGTAGTGTAGTAATGCTGCTTTGGTTCACGCAGACGCCTGGTATGCAAGCTTGACTTGTTGTGTGAAGGCCTCCTCAGAGGGCGACTTCAAATATTTTTTGAAGTGTGAATAATAGACGACTCATAGAGTACCGTCTCAATCCGCAATGGGACTTTTTTGACCATTGATAAACAATTGATTATGTAACCACAAACCCAGCACGAACAGCGAGCGACTTGCCCAGTGCCCGCATCCTTCGTCAACGGCTTTCTTCACGACCAACATCCACGTCTCACAGCTCACTACGATGGGAGAGTCGCGGACTGAGCTTATTGCCTGGATTAATGAACTCCTCCAACTCAACTATACAAAAGTGGAACAGTGCGGCACAGGGGGTGCATATTGCCAAATTATAGACTCCATCTATGGTATGCATCGTGCTTACATCTGACCCTTGCATATCAGCCTGACCACTTGTTCATGTTTCCATTCTCGATATTATATCCATATAACGCGCTCTGTGCAAACGTGGTTATAATTTTTGTACTGGTGTTGGGATGACGCGCTTTGTACGATGTGGTTGACTTGGGCGGCACGAACAGGCGACGTACCCATGAACCGCGTGAAGATGAACGCGAAACACGAATACGAGTTCATCGCGAATTTCAAGGTCTTACAAAACATTTTCAAAGCTAAGAAAATCGAGAAGGTGCGTATGTCTGTTCTCGTCGTCTATGGCGAATGTGACTAATCGTAGCGTCTAGCCAATACCGGTGGAAAAGCTCGTAAAATGTAAAATGCAGTGCGTACACCCTAATGTTGATTGGTTTGCTTCCCTTCACTCATGAGTCCTTGTCTTGGTGTACTGCGCAGAGACAACCTCGAGTTCTTGCAATGGATCAAGAAATTCTGGGACGCAAATTTCGGAGGTCAAGGGTACGACCCTGTTGCACGACGGCGCGGTGCACCTACCGATACTCCAGCAACGATCGCACCAATCGGCGGAGGTACACGCAGTGTATCAGGTGCAGGGTTACACACTGGCGGAGCACGAGCCGGTGGTCGTACACCTGTGGGAGGTCCACGAGCCGGGAGTGCACAATCAAACGAAGCCGTTCATGCACTTCGCAATCAAGTGCAGGAAATGAGCCAGCACCTTGAAGGTCTCGAGAAGGAACGTGATTTCTACTTCGCGAAGGTATGTGCGAGATGCGGTTTTCTCATGTTATACACTTGTGTTCATTTCTGACCTACGTGTCGGGTAAAGCTTCGAGACATCGAAATTCTAGTGCAACAACAAATGGAGGAAAACGAAAAGACAGGGACGGAGGATCTAACATTAACTGAAATACAGAAGATACTGTACTCTACAGAGGTGCGCAGCTCTTTAGCAGTACGTAAGATTTTACTGACGAGCTCTTATTGCGCAAAATAGGAAGGGTTCGAAGTTCCTGAGGGTGCGCCGGCGGTGGATGAGGAGGAAACGTTCTGAATAGCTCTGCTAAGTTATCCTTGCCGTCGCTTCACACTTGTTGCTCTCCGTCACCTTCTGCCACTCAATCATTTCACTACTCCTTCCCGTCCTTACAAACACATCGAGCTCTTTCAAGAATATCCTACCTCCTCCACACGAGCTATACAAAGTGTCGCGTTATTCGCGATTAATCCAGTTTGTCCATCTCTTTCTCAATTACCTTGAATTGTTGAGATTTCGGTTTGTTGAAAATGTAGAGGTAAAATGTACATTGACACTTGTACACTGGACAGACTCTAAACGATCGTTTTGGCATAAGTGTTTTCTGCCTTATGGGATCAAGTATTTCTCTTTCTTCGTCGGACTTGGCGGCGAGATAAATTCCCCGAAACTTCCGAGCTATTGCAACTGGCCCTAATACCAACTCTGAAATGCATACGTTTCTTCCGAAATGGCACCATTGAAGCAATTAGACAGATCAACGGCTCGACAAGAAAGTTTCGCTCAGACCCTGTACATTCATTCTCCGATTCCCTTAACTTAGGTCACTGATCAAATGCGGGAATCCATTCCATAAAGTTTAGAAGGTAAGTTTTCTGCACGTCACAGTCAAGCGCTTAATACTTATCGCTCTCATCTGGATAGGGCTTACGACGTAACTTACAGGACAAGTTATAAGAGTTTGTTGAATCATACGTTCAAGGTTCAGTCTCGGGAAAATTAGAAGGTGAGGTGTGTGCTATTTTCTTCCACAGTGATTAGATGCTTCTAGGTCTTACGCGATTGCGTATCAGAGGCAAACTATTGATGAGCCGCAGAACGTTTGGAATACGACAGACTAAGCTGCTTCTAGGCCTAGCTAATTGCCTGCTACGCCCTTGGATTCTGCACTGTACACGCCAATGTTTGCTGAGCCCACTTCAATAACTAGCAAAGAGTCCTGTCTTTTCCTGAATTGCGCCATTGAACTCTTCAACACACACCACTCGAGAATACTATACATTTGCACAAGACACAAGGTAAAGGAAAACAGCAACATGACCAGCTAAATCTCTCCATCGTCTAAACGCTACGAGTTCAGGTCACCTCAATCTCGACATTTACTTCTTCGCGGGTCCTCCACCGCTCTTCGCGTTCCCGCCTTTCGGTAGACCTCCAGCAGCAGGTACGATTCCTGCGTTGGCGTTCTTGGCAGCGGCTGATTGTGCGCGCGAGGAGAACGAGCCCTTGCCGGTTTCATTCCCGCCCTTTGCCTAATATTTACCCATAACGATATATGTTAGCAAGTCGTGCTCGAAGTTTGAAGAGAGGGATGGGCGAACGGCTCGAGGTGCGTAGTGGCTCGGACCACTTACTTACCTGGGATGACTGGATGCGAGACGCATCAGTGCGAGTCGTAGGTGCGCCCGTGTTCTTTGCCATTGTTCAAAGTATAAGGGTACGGAGTGAGGTGTAGAAGTGAGTATATGCGTTGAGTTAAGTCGAGAGGTATCTCTGCTTGATGAGTCCACCTCTCTCTCGTTCATCCTCTCCTCTTTATACACCTCCCATCCAAGCTATTTCTGACAAAGTTAACATTCAAGTGAGCTGGCAAGAGGAAGAGCAAGGACGAGAACAAGAGTAGTGGCTCATATCACCTTCTTATGACTACCACAGAACCAGAATCCTCGCAACTGCGATTCACACGCACTTCATCGTCCAGTTGCATTTGGGCGCTAGTCCAGAGGTTACTCGGTCTAACGAAAGTTGTAGTAATCACGGCAGCAAAGGAGCAATCTCGGATAGATAGAAGGCTACGAAGGTGCAGCGCTTTACGTCTGCGGCGCTTATCGTCCTACATTCCCATCTGTTCAACGTCAGATATCGCATCGAGGTGCTTCCAATCGCTGATATCGCCTCCCAAATCAGAGACACAATGTACAATAGTATCTGTCTTGGTTGATTTATGATCTAGCTTCAAACGCTCATAGCTTTGCGGTCATTACGCTACAGCATTCTATTCTTAGCTGGAAGTTTACTAAGTACTCTGTCCAAACGTAAGTACTTTGAACTTTACATAGTCTGTTGCAACGTTCTGAAGATCTTATACTCTCTATCTACTGAATCTTGCAGAGTTAAGACACTATCTAGTTCACTGCTTATTACATTAGCAATACCTCTTATAAACTGTACTAGCTTTATCTCAATCTGATATGAAGAAGACAGTGTGATAAAGGGTAAATCCTTTCTTGTCTAAACTGGATTTTATATTGATAGTTATTAGTCCGAATTGCTTGGTTAATTATTTTTATTATTATTATCAATATACTAAGTAAGTACAGTTTTTTTTTTTCAATCTATATTTCAACAAAAAAAAAAGATTTTTGGCTTGGTCAAGATTTGATCAATTTACTGGCTAAGACCTCTGGCTAATTTCCACTTAGACTGTAGGAAGAATTCTGAACTTATCCTGTGTATCTCTATCATAGATTGATACACATGTAATCCTTAAGCTGCTTCTTTGAGACATTGCTTAATATTCACCTATGAGAACAAGAAATTGGCACATATATTTAGGGATTAGTTACTGACTGTAGAGTCATGCATGGAGTATTCACAGCTAATGATCTGACCCTTTGATTCGGTTCTGATGGCAACAAAAGTTGGGAGTCGAGACAAAGTAAAAATATAGTGTGTGTATGAACGCAAACTGAACAGATGGCCATTGGCAGACAAGGTGTTGTCGTAATCGGTGAACTCGGATATCATTTTCTTTAATTTATTACAGGGGAATAGAAGGTGGTTATATGCTTTCTAATTACAAGCGCGCGTATGTATGTTGATTAGTTGATATGAAAATTTAATCTTATCGGCAGGACAAAGTCATGCGATCCACATCTATTCCGAGGGATACTTTCTACTACTTAGAGCCATGTAGGCGTTTAAGCTACACTAACGGTACACGACGGCTGTGGTGTACCGTAATTAGACAACAAGGACGAAGACTTTTCAGGCCCAGAAGACTCGGATTTAGCATGTCCGTCGTTCTCACAATACGCAATGGGCTTCCTGTTTGAACGTTGTTGAAGATGGATGGTGATGTCGTGCCGCCGGCATCCTGGTTGTGCCTTGAGCGTTGAGCAGCGATGCTCCATTTGTCAAATTGTGTAGATGGGAGAGGTAATCGTGTTGCTGTAACGTGTGCATAACTTCTAATGAATGACATTGAATTTGAATAGTGTAAAAATTTCTCAATAATGAAGGAAGTCGAAGAGTTTAGAGAAAGCCAAATGACTATTGAATAAGTTGAGTGAATGAGATGAATGCGTGAAGTAGAGACGGATAAACGGGACGGAAGGACACGCGGCAACGGCAAGCCCTGAATTGTTCTCCACACACCACTCGACATGCGTGTGCTGGGTCCAGAACATTTTACTCCACAGTTTGAGCTTCTAACGCTCGGAACGTCGACCGAGACCTGCGATGGCCAGCGTCCCTTGTATTCGCCATGCGTATAGTGTATAGTATATCTAACGCCATCGAACCATCTGTCCCGTCCGTCTAATCCCACCTTTCCCTCACTAGCTCTGTCCTGTCCTTTACGACACAACACAAGACACGTACAAACTGCCTCTGAAATCCATAATCCACCAGCATGATCCGCGCCGACGCCTACACACCCGACGTCTGGGAAGCAATCTGCACTCCAATGCACGAAATCCTCCCCGCCTCTCCCAAACATGGTTCTGGCGCACTATTCCTCGGTTCGTGGACTGCAGCTGTCGATACAGACTTACTTGCTCGGCATGGTGTGAGGGCGATTGTGGAGTGTCATGATGCTCCTTGGGGTATATGCGAATCGACCTCCTCAGCGAATGGGAGTGGTGGTGGTGGTGGTGGTGGTGGGGTGCCGACGTTCGGTCGTACGTCCACTTCACCGAGCTTTTCTGCCGGTCGACCTTCCCTAGGCCGATCCGTCTCTTCTTCGGGCGTACAGCTCATCAACAACGCTCTCAATGGTACCACATCCCATCATCAACATCAACAAGCACAAAGTCAAATGGGTCGATTCAAAGTAGCCATACCCGATAGCCCTACGCCTGGCTTACTCGAACCTCACCTCGACGGAGCTGTCCGATTCATTCGTGATAGGTTGAGTAGGGGCGAGAACGTCCTCGTGCATTGTCAGCAGGTACGTCCATCCATCCATCCATCCATCCATCTACCCATTTTTACCCAATCCCAATCCATCTGTTCCCATTCTCAAATTAAAGTAAAGTAAAATTTTTATATTTGCTCTTCGTTGGTTCCTGACCTGACCTGACCTGACCTGAATCTATTCCCCGTCTCTCGCTCCTTGTTCTCTAATTTCAAATTTCCAACTATCTCATCCCGGCGTATTATTAATATTAATAAATGATTTGGTCTTGAAAAAGGGCATATCCCGCTCCCCGGCGATCGTCTGCGCCTTCCTTATGCGCGAACGTGCTCTCTCCTACGACGCTGCACTACAAATCGTACGTTCTAGACGGAAATGTATCAAGCCGAATGTAGGGTTTGAGAATACGCTTCGGAGTTGGAAGTAATCCTTTCTGAGAGATACTACGTGTTGAAGGATTGTTGGACTGGGATTGGATACACGGATCTTCTTGAAGTGGACGGGATTGTTGGTTGGATTTTTAACTTTCGTTTTCTAAATGGGAATTTTGAGGGATATTGGGATTCAGGACGACAGAAAGTAGAAGAACACATTTATACACGACTCTTTCCTCTTCCCTCTCTGCGCTGGTGTACTTTTTTAAGGATTGCACAGATCTATCATCTATCATGTATTTTTCTCTGTATTATCACGGATTTGGTTTGTATACTGCTGCTCAAAAGCTTCTTTTCTCTGGGCATCACAGTAAATATATCCAGCAAGATACACGGTTATCTATACACATGCGTAAGCACATTCGATACAAGTATATCTACACGCCAAAAACGAACTCTATTTCATCTAATCAATATTAGACTTAACTCGTCAAGTCTAGGTTTATCTAATCGTGTCTAAGTAGACACGGAAATCCCGTTCACCTTCACTTTCGTATCTACAATTTCTCTTTTTTCCCAGACGGTTCCGAGGTCGGGATGGAGGTTCTATACATTTATCACATCAAAGCAAATAAATATTCAGATAGTCAGTCAGTCAATCAGTTTTGTCGGAACAGGTCCAAATAAAGAAGACAAGGAAGGAAGTCACTCACCTCCACAGGAATACCAAACCCAGTAAGCGCACCCAACACAGCCTGTCCACTCCACTCTTCCAATTCCTGAACACGTGTGGGCGAGATGAAGTCTTGTGTACGGCGGTTCGCGAAGATCATTTGGACGGCTGCTGCGCGGATGCGTGCGGTTGGTGTTGGTGTTGGAGTTGCTATTCCCGATTCGGACTCGGGCTCGGTGCTTGTTCTATTATTGTTATTAATGGTTGGATGCGAACCGTTCACTTGTGGGGATGTCGGGGACGATGATGAATTGGTAGAGGAAGGTGGGCTAAGTGAAGGCGTAACTGGTAACTTCGTCGGTGGGACTGTAAGGCCATTGGTCGTTGCCTTGTGTTGCCGGGGCCGCCAGACAGATGCAAGGTGAAGAAGGTGGAAGGTCTCCATCTGTGACACGTGAAAACAGTCAACAATATTAATAGCTGAATATATTGGAATGTTGACGAACCTCTAATGTTGCGAGACTGGGTACAGTGTCCATTAGGTGGTCTATGAGCATCTCGTTGTGATCTGGGAACGAAGTTTGTCGGCCTTGAGAGGCGTAGAAACTGGAACAGAGTGGTATTCATTAGGAGACGTTGGAGGGACTGCTAGAAGCATACCTGTCTGCACTTGCGTTTACTGTATTGCTCACTATAGTAGCAGGAGGGTCTAAGGGCGTCGTGGTCTTAAGTCTATTCGTAACCTATGAGATGCGTCAGATGAGACTTCAGTGTAAGTAGAAACGATACTAACGAATGCATGAAGTTCAGCATCTGCAGCTACCTACTCATAACGGGGTGCAAAGGTTAGTACTAGAGTGCAAGAATCTAAGAAGCATACATACCGGTTTCGAAACCTGGTATGGCGAACCATCCTGCCCATCTGCGTTGTCTGAGAGGAAGTCATAATCGTAGTTCCTTCGAACGGAGACACCCGCAGAAGGTACAACAAGCGATCCGACGGGAAGATCGGTCAAGCCGCCACAAGACCCCAATCTGCATAGACGAGTAACGTAACCAACACCTCGAGATCAACATCGCTTTCTTCCATACCATACGTACATATATAAAGTAAAGTCTGAACTAGTGAAAATTCGTACCTTACGATTACGAGGTCTCCGGAAACACATTCACGAGCTTCCCGGACGAAGAAGTCCATGTTAGGATAGCCCATCCCTATGCTGACGATACTGATAGGCACGCCATTGAAACGACCTGTAATGGTGAGAAATCCTCGTTCTGAGGAGAGTTTGAATAGTGATGAGGCGTCGCCGTCGAGAAGGGATGCGATTGCCTCCGCGCGTGAGGGAGAGCCTACGGTCAGCTGGATATCGTGGAGAAAGAGGAGGCATTAGTTCGTGATGTACATAGGATATGTAAATTGGCTTCACACGTACAATGCGATTTGCGACGTCACCGGGACGTATTCCGAGATGGTATACTCTGCCATCGGCGGTCCTCGGAAAGTCTGTGTCCGGTGAGTGCAATAGAACTACCGAATGGGCGTCTCCCCACGTACTTACTTGCATCGGTGAAAGTATCCTTCATGATCTAGGTCCTGCTGCTCGTACCGTGCTGATGGCGCACACCTGGAATATTACTCTCACAGAAGCCCGCTTCGTTGTTGTGCCCGGCGCTCTAGATGGGAGTACGGAGTCTAGGAGGGACAAAGTGCTGCTTTGTATGACATTGAGACACTCAGACTGTAATGTAACGCTGTTATCGGCAGTGATCGGCATGCCGTTCGACACACGTGATCGATGAACAATTCAGTCCCAAAAATATCATCGAGTTTGATAACTTTTTCGTTCTTTTCTGATGCCGTCTGTGCGCTCTTGCGGCACGTACAAGAAGAAATGTGATCATTATCCTCGGTACTTTTTGCCTCAGGCTTCTCGCTTAATTACAGAAGCAGTCTCAGGATCGCCACTTCTGCAGAAACCGACTCGGCGTAGCCGGAAGGATACCGTTGCTTACAGTAACACCTTAGGGGTTTGACAACATCTGTCCATTTATCTGCAGTCAGACTCCGCTCTTTTCTTATCAGAGAAGTAGGCCTCCTCGAGATCAAAGTCAACTAGCTAGCGGATGTTCTCTGGCCAACTCTTATGTGCGATGTCTCGACAACTTGATCGTATTCTGTCCTTGCTTTCTTCCGAGCAGGTACGGACAAGCCCCAAGCGCTCGTATGTATTAGTAGAGCAAACGTCATCTCTCTTATGGCGGAATCAAAATCACACGCGAACTGACAACGTTGCTTCGACCCGGTCTGCGGACCCTCGGCAAGATACATTGATTTTTGTGTGTGCTAAAAAATCACAGGACGTACGATTCTCTTTCCTTGCCCTCGGTCTTTCATATCCGTTTATGACGAAGTTGGAGCATCTCGACATATCTTTAGCCTCGTGGCTTTCGGCGTATCTCTAGCTCTCTGGCTTCCTGCTGGTCTCCAAGTCGTGGTCGTCATCGTTGCAAAGGGTAGCCAAGTCGATAGACAACGCAAACTCGCGTGGCATCGGGTGCCTGGGCAACTCAGAATCAGTGCGCGTACCGAGTCCTTTGGGATCGCCGAGAATTGAATTCGCGTGCTAGCAAAAAAGACGTACTGAGCCATGGAACAAAGGGGATTCGCGAGATCAACCGAAATGAAGCCGTCTCCATGCCTCTTCCGGCATCCATCCCCTATAAACGTATGCTCAAGAAAGGGCCTTGAGCCACTTTCTTTCTCCCTTCGTCTCCTTTTTCACACTGCCGCTGTAAGCAACTGCGTGAATCGTTTCTCCGCGCGCCCTTCGTGCCATTAACAAATTCCCTTTTTGCTTCACAGCGTTTCTGGTTCGCTCGGTACTACCTTTCATTCGTTTACCACACCCCTTCGTACGATTTGGTCGTCATCTCTTAAAGCTCGCACCACATTCGCCGAGAACGATCCGGCATTCCGCTCATTTTCTGAAACATACTCATTAGGTTCGCGGTAAGCATTTTCGTCATACGGTCCACCTTTCAAGCGTCTGTTGCCTCATAAGGCCTTGGTGCTGTACTGCAGGACTGCGGTGCTATGCCTCGTGTCCTCTTGGATGGAACTTTCTCGCGAGGCATACCAGCTTATCGTCCAGAACGTCAAATCTAGGTCGGATCTGTGCACCTTGACACGTACCTCAAGAGCCTTCCAACGAGCCGCAGAGCGCGCGCTATACAATACCCTTGTTATGAACGACTCAACGACTGCAATTAAAATCTGTCATTCGATTACCTCTAATCCGAGACTGGGCGCTCTCGTTGATGCTCTCACAATCTTTGCTTCTCCTCCGACTCGTGACGATGAAGATGACTCGAGCGATAATGGTGTTGTTGGACTACCGGAGGAGTACTGGAAATCGATAGCATCTGTGCTGGCTCAAACGACTCGACTACGACATCTCAACGTTCACGTTGACGGAGATTCAGCTTTCGCGTGGATTCTGCGGAATATCAAATTCAGATTGGATTCGTTTCATTGTGATTTGGCGTGGGACGAAGATCTCGTCAATTTCCTCAACTCGCAGGATCAACTTCGCGATCTCTACCTCGCGGATTTCGCGTTAACTTCTCCAACTCCAATCCGCAATGACGAAGAAGAAGAAGACGACGGTCAGCAGGCCCAACCTTCTAGCCCCATGTCTATTCGTCCGGACGCGTTGCCCTTATTGTCAATTTTGGAATGTAGCTTCATCGATGCGATCACGACGCTCGTTCCTGGACGTCCAGTCATACGAGTCAAAACGTGTTTCTCGAGAGAAGATACGCCGGGTAAGGCGGAAGAACTGCGTAAGCTCAGCGCAAGTCTACGACGAACATCATCCAGGCTCCGCAGTCTTGACCTCGCAGATGCATCGTATACAGAGGAATTTACCCTCACGGTGCTAGGCACGATGACAGGACACCTCCCGGACCTTCGGTACTTTGGTACACTTGTTCTTCCCGTGGGGCTTGAGGTACGTTGTTTTTTGGTAGTTGATTCATTGAGCGGCTCATCCGTTGATTCGCCGATACCCTATATCTCTGAACTAACCGACTATAATTGGACTGTTCTTCACCCTCCGTCTCCCCGGGCACCACTCCTTCGTTCCCGCGATGTACTAGCGTCTCCAATTCTTTGGACTGCTCATGCGTTTGAAGTCGCTGTATACAGTTGAACTGGAGGTATCCGAATGGGAACCTGCACCGTCGCCGCAGGCGATGCGTGCACTAGCAAGTGAACTACGACTCTACTGCCCGTCTATACGATGTTTCGTCTTTGTCCAGGAATTCGAACGTACAGTTGTGCGTGTCGTCAACGGCTTTTGTGCGGTTGATCCGGAGGCCAACACCGAGAATCTTTGGAGAGACGAACGGAGCTAGTATAATGGACCTTTTAACTGTGTGTGTGTCCTATTTTTGGTTTTTGACTTTACTTCTGTTTCTGGGTACGTGTGGGTTTGCCGTCCGTCCAGTGCCGAGTGAAGCCGCGGAGCTAATCTAATTTCTTCCCCTCCCTCATTCTTACTTCAGCAATATCATCCTTCATTTACGTTTCACTCTCTTCTTATCTTTCTCTTTCCCTTCTATTCCTTCTATACTGTTTTTGACTGGTCTACGCTCGCACTTTATAGAGCCCATACCTGTCCGCGGTCCTTGTAGCATTAGCATAAAGTTTGACTACGTATAACCCTCTTCCGCTGTTACGATTTCTCTCCTCTCCTCTTTACTTTTCTTTTTCATTTTTCATTACATACATATATACGTATATCCCTCATTGTATCCGATAGCTCGGAGTATCTTACACTTATTCATCGGACCTTGCGTCTCCCGATTCCCACTTTTCTCCTTTTCCTCCTCATACTTAATTAGTATGAACGTAACACATTTAGCCGTTCATTTAGTTCATTCAGCTTGTCATTGTCAGCCGTCTCAATTCAATTCTCTATTAATTATTAAGTCTCGGACAAACCTACCTAGTAATTCAACCTTGATTTGATTTTGATAGCTTCTTAGCATTCATTCATGCGTATTTGACTCCACGCGCTTTCGGAAAGAAATTGATTAATTCATTGAAGTGGGGGGAATGTCTGTGTAGTCAGAGGTATAAATATAAGGTATATACTTTGTCACTCTCAACGACCTCAGATAGGAAACAATACACAAAATGCTATTCATCTCCGAGTAGGGAAAGTGGGATGAAACATGACATGTTACATTTATCAAGATAGGCTATAAGGAATTTCATACCAAGATTTGAGAAATAATGCATCATATCAACCCATTCCTTTGTCTAAATATAAAATGTACTATTCAAGCACTAACAACCTTGTCCATATCATAGGGTGTATTGAACTGCCAGTATGCACCACTATTTGCCTCGGCAATGTTACTAATTGTAAGCTGAAATTCATCACCATCTGTAGCCTATTAAATGATTTGAAAGTATATTAGCATTGACTGTCATATAATACAATGATGATAGAATGTACTAACAGCTTGTTTTGAATAGCGGATAGCTGCCTGGTTCTGGACAATGCTGTATTTAGAATGTATACAGTTAGTAAAAAATGACGAGTCGGAATAGTAATTCAAGTACATACTAGTAGTTGCCTAACTGGCCAGAAACAGGCTCAATAGTCCATTTCTGGGGTTCCTGACCCAACACAACATACCCATCCTACATTAGTATTATTAGAACCATTACATTTATAATGGTGGAGAAAAAGTAATTAATTCACGTAAATGTTGATATAGCCTCCAAGTTGAGGGGCAACTTGGGCAATCTCTAGAATTTGCAATGTTGCCGTATTATCACTAGTGTATTTAACAATTACCTAATGTAATATTGTTAGATCATTTGTAGTAGTTTGATGAAGATTAGAAAAACAAGAAAGAGAACAACCAACTTGCTGTTGTGGCCGGACAGGCTGCTGATAGTTCCAACCAATGATAGGGTTTCCAAATGCAATGATTCCGTCTTTGTTGTCCATTACAGCCTTGTTTTCTGAATTCCAGATGTAGTAGGTCCCATTCTCTGGCAGGCTTGCAGCAGGTGTAGTTACTACAAGGACTGAGGCAGATAGGGACACAAGCTTGAAGAGATTGAGGAGTTTCATTGCGAGTGATAAGTATTAAGGACAACTGAGCAAGTGAAGTGTCTGTAATAGAGAGCACACACACTCTACGCAGTATCTATTTATACAGTCCAAAATATACGCAAGAAAATGATAAGGCAGTGCCGCAGTATACGTGTCATAATGTTTTGGAAAATCACTACATTTAACTTGACAGCTTAAGTGTTGATGGACGTCTGTAATAGTGCTTTTATAAAGCAGTCATAAGATGTACTTCTCTTCGAGACTACCACGCTCTTGAGTGTCAAAAAAATTTGTAAGTTGCTCATTAAGTTGCACTTCTCTTCGGAACTATCACTCCCTTGAGTCCGAGTCATGATCCTCTGAAAAACATTATTTTAACTATAAAGGTAAGCAATATAATAGAATCGCAATAAACCTAATAATGTAAAAAGAAACAAAATTTACTACATAATTACACTATCTTTAATATTGTCTTATTGATCATGTAGGAAAGTCAATAATGTAGAAGAGAGAGTAGAAGGAAGTTTGACACGCTCATAAATTATGAATCCTGACGTGTAAAATCGATAATGTTTTTGAAAAGTCACGGTCCTATCGACGAAGTTGTCATCCTTCTTCTCTGTTATGAAACACGAGTACATAAATGACAGCCCACTATGATCTGTCTATCTGTTGTAATATACAAGATGTACTAGTACTCCAGGATTCCCAAATGGTAGTGTATGATTTGGTGTATGATTTGTGTTATTTTAAATGTGTACATTTCTCATTGGACAGACCAATTGTTCTGCCAATCGGAACTAATGTTGTGCTGACTTCATGCTTGACTGTAGGCAAAAAGGAATGACTGTCCCGAAGAGAAGTACGCCTATTATCAGTACATGCCTAGTCCACATGGGCCACTCCTGAATATACTGAATATTTCTTACTGGCTATTTACTGGCCAACATCAATCAATAGTACTTGATACCACCAAATATACATCATTACCAAGATAATATACATTGTCCTTTACCTAGAATCGACTAAGGTATTTAATGTCCGTGGTGCGTAATCTTATCCTTTACTTTATGCATAACACGTTTCACTCGTCCTTCTTTCTTCCCTCCATCGGCGTCCTCGTCACTAGTGTTCACGTTCCCAACGCTTTCCCCGGAACCACTCTTAGTGGTATGTACGACGTTGTCATCGGATTGGTCCCGCACGTGTGGGTTAGACAATTCTGACGTTGGTGAGATAGACGTATGTGCACTCATATCCTGTGCAGCTGCTGTTCCAGGCAAGCGAGCACCTACAGCTGTTCCGCTCTTTACGTGGTCTTGTGTTGGAGTTGTGTTAACGGTTGGTTGGTCCTTGTCCTTTGATGGCGGCGTTGGTGCATCTGTCTCTACAAAGCGTGAGCCACCTGATGCAGGCGGAAGTGTGCTGTCCTTTGATGGATGGTCCTGTGGCTTGGGCTCAGTTGTGGCATCGGTGAGACCCGGAGGGTGGGAAGGCGCTACACCAGATTGGGCTGGAGATGTATCCTTCGAAGAAGGTGGGGTTGGAAGGGCGTGCATCGCGACAGCTGTATTACCAGAGTTGATAGGTGATGATACATCCTTTGACACTGTGTCTTGGCTTGCGGTGATGGTAGCATTTGGCTTCGCGGTCGAAGTCACGTCTTTAGAAGGGTAATTAAACGTCAGAAACAGTCAGAATGAATTAGGATGATATATTTAGACATACCCAAATTGTTGACCGTTCCCGTATTAGGAGCTTCCGTATTGATAGAAGCAGTGTCCGATAAGATAGACGTGCGTTCTGACGAAGGTGGCATTGCTGTTGTCGAGACGTTGTCAAGACTGTCAACCCTTGCTGACGCTGGCTTGGCACCCGACGTAGGGTCTAGATTCTTCTCAGTTTGGTTTCCGTTAGTCATACTCGCAGCTGATATGTCAAAATTACTAAATGTTTTACATTCTTGTTTGGGTAAAAAACATACGTAGGACGGAACCGACAGCTCCAACTACAGATTCGGGAAGATATGCCCTGGCAGCGTCAACGGCTTGCTGCACGCCTACATTAGGCAAATATCCTCTTGCGGATGCCTGAATGTCCGTCGCAGACTTCGGCGGTGCAGAATCTGCCAGCTTCATCGCAGCAGCATGTGGTGTGCGTTCTTCACTCAAGCTCGGTGCTTGCGCTGAAGGACGCGACTCGCGCGGAAAACTTCCGGGGAACTCTACTCCAGGAGTCGAAGCTTCTGATGTCGGACCGAAATCCTTACCCTGAACTGCAGAGGTGCTGTGCAATGCATTCGTAGCGTCTGCTGCCCACTCGTGCGCTGGAGTTGACACAGGCGGTTCGATGTTTATGGATGCCATCTTGCTTCAGCTGTCGTTATTCAAGTCTATGCTGTTGCTGATGTTGCGAGTATGGTGGGAAGTGATTTAGAGGAACGAGAACGGAGAGTCTGGTAATATAAGGTATAGAAGTGGAGCAAACGAGATGATGACTTCATCCTGCTTGATCCACTCCTCGCTTAGTCTCCAAATGCAATATAAGTGATAGTGCACAAGTCACATCTTGATACACAGCCTTGGATCATGCATCTTGTTGGACAAAAATGTGATTCGAGGTATTCTGTAAATTTGTGAAAAGCGCTTGTCTGTATGCAATTCGACCTGCTATTTACATTTGCGGCAATTTCTGATAAGGAGGGCTGTACGTTGGAGTGTAATAGGGTTCATGCATAGGATGGGAAAATTAATGAGGCACCATAGTCATTGTGAAGGATGGGTACAAATGGATACGCACTACAAATGCAATACTAACCAGTTTCATGCGCGCGAGAAACCGAGTATTGAATTACTAGTAGGCCCCAGACTGATGCTGTACACTCACTGCACTGTGCTGTGGACGTGATTTTCTTTCAACGGAAGCAATGACGTAGCTCCTGTTACACACGAGTCGCGTGATTGACGCGTTCAAAGCACAGCCACGAAATGTCTCGATGCTCACTCTGATGCTCCAAAACAAGGAATCACTGAGTTAGAAAAGAGCAAAGATGGGGCCGCCTTGGTGAGCGACGTCATTCATGACGCGTTCCTCTGTCCTCGACACTGCTGCGATTGCTCTACGAAAAGTATAAAAGGGTGGTATACTTGGGTGAGCCTCATTGACTGCGTCACTTGCATCCACATCCAATCTCATAAACTCAGTAGCTCGACAAGGTTTATCTCAACATCATGTCATCTTCAGACAACCAGCCAAAGTTCGTCATTTCTTCACCTGATATGCTGCGCGTCTTTTATTCACCGTGCCACCGTTTACAGCCAGACCACTGGCCAATACCACTCCGTAAAGGGTACCGTTGTCGAGGCAATTGGCAACACTACTGGTGCCCAGTCCTGGATCGACTCGGGAAAGAAAGAGCACAGTGAGGGCGAGGCTGAGCAACAGGCTGCACAGGCACGCGACTACGCTGAGGGTGTCTCCGACCGCGTAGAGGGAAAGTATAACGCCGTCAAAGGTGCGGTCTTCGATGACAAGGGCCAGCAGATTTCAGGTGAGTCCTGCTTGTTTTATTTCGTTTGCAGGGGAATATTTATATCTCGATGTAGGAAACGCTCAGCACGATGCTGGAAAGGCACAACAAAAAGCCAACGAATCATCGTCCTGATTGATAGATTATTCATGGAGATCGATGTTAATGTATTCTACCTCGAGGCATACACATGTATATCATATTGTAATGAAACACGGACTGGTATTTCGATACCCACAATTTTGTGCAGTATGCTTATCCGTCTGCGTTGTGACAATTTGTTGGAAAGCTCACGCAATGCTCATAATTTTATGAATTAAACAAGTATTATTTAAAGTAAAGAACAAGGAGATTTTCTACTATGATATTTTTGCGGTGGAGACTGTGGGTTTGTAGAAGTAGATTACAAGGTGGCATGCAATATAACAGTACTGGTGATTGAGGTACATTCGCTGAAGAACACAAGAGAGTGATACTACCTGGGTGGCAAAAAACACTCCTGCCATCGTTCCCCAAGTGCAGCATGTGTAAAGTCTAGTTTGGTTGAGAATGGACAGCTGAAAACTGCCTTATTCCGAGGGCGCCAAAGCGTTGATTGAAGGTCAGGGGGAATCCATAAAAGCAACTCTCCTCCATGTCCACGTATCCATCCGTCTCCATCCAATGTCCACTCAAAGGCGGGATCTATACCGAGAACGAATAGATGAGCAAAGCATTAGTCACCAAGTGCTGAGCAAAAGAGAGGCTCTCAACTTACCCTCTACATTCCACAATCTGATCGTTCGATCAACAGAGCCAGAAACGACATGTCTTCCATCAGGGGAAAATGCAACAGACCGCACTTCTGATGTATGTCCTTCAAAAGGTGCGAAGATAGCCTGTCCGCTGTGAACGTCCCACACTCGGACCGTCGTGTCCCAGGAGCCCGAGACGACAAGCGCTCCGTCAGGGGAGAACGCAACTGACGTAACACCGTATGTATGGCCTTTGAAAGGTCCAGCCACGACCTGTTCACTCTCAACGTTCCATATCAAGATGGTTTTGTCACCAGAACCAGAGGCAACGCGAGTGCCGTCGGATGAGAATGCTACTGACAGAACCCGATCCGTGTGCCCGTTCAAGGGTCCAGAAACCACTTCCCCACTTTCAACGTCCCAGATTATGCTTGTTGTGTCGACGGAGCCAGAAGCAACGCGTCTCCCATCAGGCGAGAAAGCAACGGAATTAACACTGTTTTTATGCCCTTTGAATGGACCGAAAATCATCTTTCCGTTCTTGACATCCCACAGTCGGACAGTTCTGTCATCGGAGCCAGACGCAACGCGTTTCCCGTCTGGCGAGATGCAGACAGACGTGACAGATAATGTGTGCCCTTTGAAAGGACCGGCAACTACCTTTCCACTTTCAGCGTCCCACACTCGGATCGTACAATCTTCGGAACCAGACGCGACGCGCCTTCCATCTGACGAGAACGTGACAGACCGAACCCACTCTGAGTGTCCTTCAAAGGGTCCAGAGACAGTGCACCCAGTAGCTGCGTCCCAGATTCGAATCGATTTATCGCTGGAGCCAGAAGCAATGTGTCTCCCATTCGGTGAGAAAGAAACAGAAATTACACAGTCTGTATGCCCTTCAAAAGGTCCGGAAGCAGGCCGTGCACTTTCAGTGTCCCAGATTCTGATCGTGTTATCGTCGGAGCCTGAGACGACACGCGTCCCATCAGGAGAGAATGCGACGGACTGTACCCAGTCAATGTGCCCTCCGAAAGGCCCAGAAACAACTTGCCCAGTCTGAACGTCCCAGATTAAAACTGTTGTATCGCGGGAGCCTGAGACAACGTGTTTCCCATCCGGTGAGAAAGCAACAGAATTTACTACATCAGTATGACCTTTGAAAGGCTCCAAAATACGTTTGCCACTCTTAGCGTCCCATATTCGAATTGTGTTATCTGCAGAACCTGACGCGAGACGCGTACCGTCGGGAGAGAAAACAACTGACCAGACACGGTCAGCGTGGCATTTGACAGGCTCACAAATGGTCCGTCGACTCGCAATGTCCCAGACTCGAATAGTCTCGTCATTGGAACCAGAGACGATGCGCCTCCCATCGGGAGAGAACGCAACACAGTTCACTTCGTCTACGTGCCCCTTGAGACACATGGAAGGTCCACCTTTAACGTCCCAGACCATGACAGTCATGTCAGCCGAGCCAGAGGCAATATGCATCCCATCTAGTGAGAAAGCCACCGAATAAACAGGGCCATTATGTCCTTCAAGAGGCTCAGAAATCTCCTTCCCGCTCTCGACGTCCCAGATTCTGATTGTCTTATCGCTGGATGCGGAGACAACGTGCGCACCATCAGGCGAGAAAGCAACAGACTGTACCAAGCCAGTATGTTCTTCAAATGGATCATAAATGACTTGCCCGCTTTCAGCATCCCAAATCCGGACTGTACCATCCGCGGAGCCAGAGGCAATGCTAGTACCGTCGGGTGAGAAAGTGACGGATAGGACATCACGTGTATGCCCTACAAGCTCCTTCAAAAGTGGTGACTGCTGCTTTACACCTATCTGCTCTATTTGTACAGGAGCCGTCCTCGATTCTCTGGTGAGGGCCTTTGGCGACGTAGGTAAATCACGTCTTAAGTAACGCGCTATGAACTTAGACTCCATCGACGCAAACGGAAGGACAGATGCATAGATATGTGGTGTCGAGTGTGAAATGGCAGGTAAATACACAGTTATCATCCTGCGTAAGTCTCTGAGGGACGCTAAGACGTCGGCATTTTTCGACTAGTCGAAAGATAGCATGAGTTTCAACTCCTATAGCACATCCGCCCACTCACCGAGACCCAATTCATAGCATTAAGGAGTGCTGGACTAGCAGTGTTAACCTTTTCTGAGAGACTCATCACCTCCAGCCAGTAGAGCAAGCGGCTATTGAGGAGCTCTGAAAGCTCATTCAACAACGCGTGCGAGAATCGCGCCTCGTGCAAGTGTTGGCTCCAAAAGAGGCACGCGTACTCCAAGTGTGCAGGAATATTCACCTTGATACGATCTGGAAGGTCGGGGACTTGATCGTTAGGAACGTATGACGACTCCAGGTTACAGATGTTGAAGCGAAGCCCATTCTTAATGACATCGAAGCATTGCATAGCGATGGAACCCTTCTGAGCCTCAAGATCAATGTACCAACTATCGCCTTCACGCCCTGAAGACAACAAGTAGTCGCGAAATGACGTATGGCAGGGACGGATAGGTGCTCCCGGAATATACACAATTACAGATTGTAATCGCGAAAGGACAAGGCGTGACGACTCTTCATCGGAATAGCCCAGAATCCGGTCTATTGCATCGTCAGATAGTGGAATTTTACAAAGAAGGATAAGGCCAAGGACTTGGGAAAAGTGAGACCTGGATTCTTCATCATCGAACGAGATACCTGAGGTTTCAAGAACAATGCGGTACAAGCTGTCTAGTACAGAGAGCGACTGCAATTGGGATACAAGATCATTTAATCTCCGAGCAGGATAGTCGCGATCCACCAGCTTAACTGCTGTCGATGCCCAGATGAAAAGCCCGCCTGCTGCATCTCTAAGACGATCCATCCTCAATTGCCAATCCGCCGGTATACGCAATTCATTTTTCGCGAACACGGTGCGCATCTCGTAATCGAGATAACGGCGCACGTCGTTCTTGCACGTTGACGAGTCATGTTCCAGCTCAACAGGAAGAATGTAGTCCGACAGAGAGGATAAGGCCCGACTAATATCCAGTTCCTTCCTGCTCGTAATGAGAATTCGAAATCGCTTGGGTAGTGAAGGTAATCCTTTTTGAAGACTCTCCATAAGCGTTCGCCTCGTCCTCTCAGACCCGCATTCATCCAGCGCATCGAGAATAATGACAACGGGCCCTTGCATTGCGTCCGAAGCAGAAGCAAGAGGGCCTTGGAGAAGGCTCTCAAACTGAACTGCAGCCGTGGCCCGAGCAACCTCTTTATCCTGATCAACGGCCATGCCGACGTGTTTGGCCACCGAGGAATCAAATAAGGTGAGTCTATACGCGAGCGTCCGGATGACAGTACTAGGATCACTCTTCCCCCGTTCGAAGAAAAGATGAGCACCGAGACGGGAAATGGTACGGAAGTGTTCTGCGATCGTTGTGCTAACTGTACTCTTGCCAGATCCCGCAACACCATGTAGCCAGAAGACGTTTTGATCTGAGGTCGACGACGCCCACTCTACGATCTCATTCTGAATCTTCGCACGTGTCCCTGGAAGGCATTGAGGCCTATGGTATGCATCCATCTCGTCGGGACTGAGTTGACTCTTCAAATCTAGTTTACTTGATTCAGAGAAATACTTCAAACGCAAAAATACCACACGCACGTAAGACATCAACTTTGCCTAAGATCCGTGAAGAGACGAAAACAATATGAGCAGTGATTCCCGAGTCCATCGAGGTTCTGAGTGTGTGTAATGAATCAATGAACTTGTCGACCGTTGATTCAGCATTCAACATGAATATGCGTCCTAATTTATGATGAGGTCGCTAGAATTAACACAAAGAAAAACGGACGCACTTGCGAATTTATGGCGTGCATACTCTTGTACGAACAGGCAACATTCGTTAGTCTGCTTTAATAGTTGCATTATCGTACTCTCAAGTCTTTTCGTCTTATCACGAAGGGTGTCAAATTCATCGACGAAATTGAACGCATCTCTCATGGCGTGCACAAGCTCAACCACCTTCTCGTCTACTTTGAACTGGTGGTCAAGGACCTGAGGATACCGTCAGACTGAGTTTAACGTTATACTCCTGGACGCACCTTATACAGTGCCGAAGCTACCTGCCATGCGAAGTTAACGTACGGATGCACCTAGTATCCCTTAGCAATCATCAACATTCTCCAAGATTAGACGCTTACTTGTGATAACTCGTCTATGGCTTGAGCGAATGCACCTAGTTTCTTGACGAGGTTTCGAACAGACGTATATAGATCGGCATGCCCTGCGAGCGAAATGCCATCTGAATCGACAACCTCCAGCCGCAAACGAAGGATTGCAGTGGTTTCTGTCGACGCCGAGTCATGAAGCACATTAAGACGAAGCTCCGTCTCTGGTAGTTTAATCAATATGTGAGAACGTCGATAACGAGCCGTTTACACACCTTTGCTATCAGCACATCTCTCTAATAAGTCATCAAGCTCCACTTCAATCAAGCCTATACATTTGTCCTTCACTGACGAATTGTGCTTGATCTTGATGATGAATTTCGTCCCTTGGTCTGCTGTTGGTCTATAGATGCACTGTGTCAAATAACACCAGAGTAAGGGCCAAGATTTGCGTACCGTCCGAATGAGAGACACTCGTTCCAATTAGGGAGTAGATTCTCGTTTCTGTTCGTTTGCTCTCATCACCGAGCTCTACCTGAACGTATAAATTCGGCAATTTGCTGCGGAGGCTTGCGACCCATTTTACTTCAGATGCACAAATGACTATTGAGCATATCAGTATACTGTGGAAGTGAGACAAAAGTTTAAAACCAACCGGTCAAGGACAAGTGGGTACTGATAGAGGGAGGGGCCATGAAGGAGAAGGAAAGGCGAACGTCTCCAGCTTATTGATGGTTCTCCGGTTACTGTCGTTTTCATAAATATTGTCACACGCGCGATTCGTGATTTTCGTCACACTAAGTACACTCAAATACAAAATCTACTATAACTCAACTAATACTTAACCAAATTACATGATCTAAGCTGTAAAAATTATACTTTTGAAGTATCTTTCATATTCCAGAAAAAATAAATTAAAATGATCAAAAATTGAGTAAGATACAACACAATATGTGAGTTTTCCCTATATTTCATGTATATGAGTTTTCCTGGCCCTAAAACTGATTGTACAC